AGCTGACGCCTTGGGCGGACGACATCTGACTGCTTGTTAGGCAACAGGTCGCGCGGGATCGTCAGGGATTCCTTGGTCTCTAGCTGAGTTCGTCGAGTATTCAGAGAGTCTTGCTCAGCTCTCCTCACGGTATTTAACAAAAGATGATCATCGTTATTGGCAACAGGTGGTGGTACATGAATAGACGCGGCACATTGCGTCGTGTTAACCGAGTCAGAGTCCGATGAGTCTAATGAAACTTTGTTGACCGAAGACACCGTGTCTATCTCCGGCCGCGGCGAAAACCCTTCTGTGGTGCCTTGCCCTTGACTGAGCCGTTCGCTCGACCAGACTCATGCTGGGAGCGCGCGCTCTGCAAGGCACGTGCCATAATATCTAACTCTCCTGGAGGAAGCATATCCACCAGCTCCGCAGCAGTGGGAACCTGCGTGTTGCGGACCTGTTGAGCAGGACGTTGGCGCTGTCCAGTGCTCGGTCCGGCTGATCGACAGTCTCGAGCGTAATGTCCCATCTTGTGACAATTGTAGCACTCAATCTGGGACATATCCACGCGTCCAACGGTCATAGGTTGTCCCGACCCCCGTTATACACGGCCTGTGGGAGTGCGATAGTCTCCACGACTGTTGAGAGGTGTGTACAGGGGCCTTTGGTGGGACACATATGGACGGGGAGTGAAGCGAGGCGCGAAGTTGTTCATAGGAGGTGGCCCAGGCGGGGGAGCGTAGTACTGTTGCTGCACCTGAGGCGGACGCGGATGCGGACGATGCTGTTGCTGAGGCTGTTGCTGTTGCGGTTGACCAGCCTGTGGACGTGGAGATGGCTTGGCTTGCATGCGCGTATGTCCCTTAATGAACTCGAGACGTGACTGCGCCTGGCGATAAGAGCGGTCGAAATCGCCAATAGTCCTATACCATTCCTCGATGGAGTCCGGGCGGTAACCTCCTTGATCTGTAACACCTTCTGGACGTACTCGCAGATCCAAAGCCTTGGTAAGAAGGCGAGGGACAAGGACAAGCGAGTCCTGGAACATGCGAATAAGCGCTGTGCCTTCATATCCTGAGCGGGCAGCAACGTTCTTCCAGCGCGTGATGAATTCATCCGCATGCTCCTTCGGGTCCATCAGCATCGTAGCGAGCTTCTCCTGAGCGGTAGTGACTGGATCGACGTCTATGTAGTTACGCCAGAACTCGTCCCTGAACTCATCCCAATTGCGACAAGCCGCAGGCATTTCCTCGAAGTCAGGAGGCTCAGCTGCTCCTTCTTCTCCTTGCCATTCGATGTAATCTTGACGCTCCTGACGTATGCGCTGTGCAAACGGAGCGGCGTCGCCGACAATGTACGAGAGGGCTGTATCAATCTTCTCCGAGCTACGCGTGACATGCTTGTTGTCATAGTAGATCTCCA